ATCCTGTGCGAACAAGGTTTCTTAGTGGTTAGCTAGCTTTTTCCATGTTACGCAAGAAACTTTGGGAGGAGGAATGTTAAGTGCTTCCCCGCCCTACGAAAGAAATCCAGACTCCTAATAAACCCTAAACCCTAAACCCTAATTAAGGGATATTAAGGGCCTCTAGCCAGGTGAGTAAAGGGTTGTTTTGGTTTTACACAGTAGACAGCAGCTGCAAAGATCTTCGGCTGCTGGATGAGATGGGGCAGACCCCCCTGATCTGCTGCAAAAAGGAGGACTGAGAGGGTCGGAGGCTAGGGGCTTGAATTGGTGCGTTTTTTGGGGTAATTTAGGTGTATATAGGGCTCAGGAAAATTAGGAGCTAAGGGGGATATATTGGGATAATGGAGAGGAGAATGGGAACTACTGTTTAGGGTTTTAGGTTTAGGGTTTCCCGAAATAAGGAGTAGTTTTGCGGTGGTCCTTGTAAACAAGGATTATCGTATTTTGGGGTCTATATTGGGCACCCTTGTTAATCAAAGCTACCAATTCAAAAGCTCTGAATCCCTGTAGGTGTGACAGGGATGCTAGAGTGATTATGTGTTCAGGCAGTTGGTGTTGGGAAAGTTTTTGGTGCTACCGACATGTGATGATGTACGAGTCCTGCACTATAAGTTTCCGTCAGGATCCAAGTATACAAATGTACTTACATTGGGCCCTAAATCGTGTAAATCTTACCCATTTTGGGCTATTGGGTTTCCTGAGTTTTGGGGATCCGCCCCGCCAGTTCAGGCCTTGGGGCCCGACCGTCAGTTCCCCAGTTCCCCCCTTCGCCCATTAAGCCACAGTGTCTTTTTGGGGGGTTGTGCAAGTTGTTGGGGGTAACATGCGATTCCTGAAAATTTCATATCAGAATCAGGGAACGGACTCTAGAAAGTGAGAATAAGCAATTTCGCAGGACATGATGAGACAACTGGTTGGTTGTGGGCACTTTCCGCATTATTTCGCCCCCCCACCCACCCAAGGATCCATCCCACCCACCCCCAGCCCCCAAATCAACACATCAACAGAAACCCCCTAATAGTCTCTAGTCTCTGATGGGATGGGGTGTTTCTAAGGCGTGTGGGGGCTGAAGGGTAAATATTCTCATGAAACTCTCACTTCCCAGGCACTGAGCCGTCAAATCTGTTAATCCCACACCCGGAATCCACAACCCCAGCTCCTCAAATTTCAGCCCAAAGCTTTTAATCCCAAATCCGGAACTGTAAATCCCAGACCCTAAATCGTAGTCCCAAAGTCCTGAACATAGACTCCAACGCCCTAAATCCCAAGCCCCGAGTGTTGGTCTTGGATATGAACAGTATAGCCCCGTAAACCCTACATCCAAAACCCTACACACCATCATAACCCCTCATACAACATAGAAGCACCTACAGGCCGTATCAACAACTCTAAACCTTATCACCATATATATGTATATATACATATATATACATATCAACTGCTACAAGCCCTTACTCACTGGTGTCAGTAGGGAATGAGGGAATCTTTTGCAAAGGAGTTGCCTCGCAGTAGGGATTGTATTGCTTATTCCCTAAACCCCAAACCCTAAACCCTAAACCCCCAGTAAGCTTATGAACTCCTTGGAACCCCTGGAGGATGCAAGCGTGACCACAGAGGTCGTCCAGGCTTCTCGCCCTCCGGATACGGAGCCCCCGGCCACTGGGTTTAGGGTTTGGGCGTTTAGGGTTTAGAGGACTTGGGGTGTAGGATTCAGGGGCTTAGGTTTAGGCGTTTAGGGTTTAGGGTTTGTGATGAGGGTTTGGGATTGAGGGTTCAGGGAAATTGGGTTTAAACGTTTTCGCCTCGGTTTCCAACAAATGAGGGGGGCATCCCATCTTAATCATAACATTAATCATAATGTAGAGAGGATGGAAAGCAACATGAACGTTACAATTTTAGAGTTTAGGGTTTGAAGCCTCAGGGATTCTGAAGTCTTCCCTGGGAATCGAAATCTAGTCTATAAGAACTACCTAGTCTGGGCCCGAGACTCTATAAGGGTTTAGGGTTTAGGGTTACGTATGTCCCTCCTGTCAATTGTTGGTAGGCTTAGGGCCTAGGCTCTTTTGGTTCCGTTTCGTCGTTTTTTTGGTGAGGGGGGGGAGGTGGGAGGGGGCGGGTCCTGTTAGTAGCTGAATAGGTACCTTCAACCTTTGGGGCATATGTTGTCCGAGTACCTCAGATTGAAGGGTTGAACTTGTTTGGGCCAGGGAACAGAGCAGCTAGGTACTTGCGCTTAAGGGGCAGTGGAGGGGTCGATCCCTACATTCATAATCCCTTCACCATATTAATAAAACCCCCCTAATAATAAATAATAAATCCGGGACCCTATTAGGGTGAAGAGATTACCTATCTAGAATCCCCGAATGTAGTACCTGAAGTAGTACCTTGTGCACTCCCCCACTCCTCCAAGCCGCACGTAGGTTTAGGCTTTTTCAGTGAGGGCCCCGTTTGAATCAGTTTCTTAGAGCTTGTATAGGTTTCATGAGGGAGTGCCATAACATGTGTATGGAATTAGGTTGAGGGAAGGCCGGCGCTGGATTCAACGATGCGAAAGACGGGCACTACTGGGTCACAAGTTGAGTTCCCCAAATATGTGAAAGGAGGAGGGGAGTTTGTAGCGGAAGTTGTCGAAGCTCCACGAGAAGGGCACCCATAAATCAATGTGATGCTTGTTGAACATGGGCACCACGTGGTGAGGTTGCCAAGTGTCCTGCAGGCGATATTGGAAGATGCGTCAGAAGCGGAAATGTTGATCCAAGTGATGCGTTGAACCAATTCCATCTACGCAATCTACGCCTTAATCAATGCCCTTTTTCACAACAGCCCCTATGTCTATATAGTTTTCTTGCATGAAGGTTATCGTCAGAATCCCTTTGTAATTCCTACGTCTCCATATTTTTTTGAGAAACCTCATACAAGCATTTGATGGGCTAGACCGTAAACAGGCTCTGAGACGAGACAATTTTCACACACTCTGTAGCAATTCTATCAGCATCCTGTGCAGTTCCGTATCCCAAGACCTCAGGCCATAGGTCCCCTCAAGCATTATAGGGGCCTGAAAAACTACCAACATCATGTTGAGAACCGCTAGCGGTGCCCACCACTATACTTCTTCAGAGAATCTGGGACATAGTGATGGTACCTATTCAGGTCTACAGTACTACCCAAACCCCAAAAGTATGTAAGATAATAGCCCTAAGCCCCTAACAGCAGCCCAAAAGGCTATCATTCTACATGTTTTAGGGGTCCAGGTAGGCCATACTGGAGCCCAGCGGGAGGGTCTAAGTGCACAACTCCCGCCACGGAGTTTAACATGTGGCTCAGGTAGAGATATCGGTTTCCGACGGCCTGGACGCAACAGATGCTGCTCCTCGGCAAAACGCAAGGGCTGGAATTACATGAGCTATTGTACATTACTGACTATGAGTGTTACCAAGATTCACATTGGTAGTTTAGTAATGTCTCTAAAGTATTTTGCAACAGGAACCAACGTCCATTAGTTATATGGGCAACATTGACTGTAGCTCACATTACTCTTTTGGGACCTAGCTTGGACCTTGGACCTTTAACTCTCTGGGATTCCCTTGTACTCTTAGTATAGGTACCTAAGGCTTAACGTGTAGTGGGGTCCTAGTGTGAGTGCCACGTACATTGGTCATTAGTCGCGCTAGGGGTGTAGAAGGGCTTCAGGGATATCAGAAATGAGTTGCCATCCTCAACCTGCACTCGAATAGTCAATAATAGTACGTAGTAGTAATCCTAGTCGTTGTAATTATAGTAAGTCATACTAATGATAGTAACAATAATGGCACATGATATAATAGTAAATCATTCTCGCCTCCTGCCCACACTCTTTCAAGTGGCATTGATAACAAAGGTTAGCCCAGGTACCAGGAGGATCATGAGACATCATAAGTAAAGACCCTCCATTCACCCTCTACTTGGAGGGTCAGGGAGACTTAGTAAGTAGGTTAATAACCCCTATAACCCATATAGTAACCCTAGTTATCCCCATTATTAACCCACTTACTAAGTGCCCCTGACCCTCCAAGTATATACCCTAAATAGGGATCATATACCCCTATTTAATGGGTAAGGGGAGGGTTCTGGAGTATAGAAGTTTGTACTGGTGCCTAGGGCCTATGCAGCTCCACGTACGCCTCAATTTTGTCAAGGCTGCTGCTGAACGCGCCTCATCAAAGTGGAGTCGATTGTCCCGGTTGAAAGACTTCAGCCACCTTGAGGCTTGGGATTGGGGTTTAGGGTGTAGGGTTTAGGGTTCAGGGTTAGCCCCGAGGTCCTATAAACTTGGTCACAGGTCACAAAGGGCCTGGGTTCAAGAGGGCCTAGCTTGTACAGACTTCCTGAAGCTTTCATGTTCTTTTTCCATTATCCTTATATAACCCGTAAATAATCCCTATATAATCCCCATATAATCCCATATAATCCCTAGACAGCCCCTATATAAATACGGACCTCTGTTTCGCTTGAGGTTCGGGAAATTGGGCTGTCAGGGTTTACAACTGGAGCCTGCCCAGTGAACAGTCATGGAACTTGCTAATATAGGGGCCTCAATAATTACCAATATTATAGTTCCATATTCCTGAAATAATTATGGTCTATGGTACCTCAAATGGACCTCTAAATGATATTGGTAATTGTTTAGGCCCCTGTAGTACTGTACCTAAGATTGACTCCAGTAAGGGCGCGGGAGCCCGTGGGGGCAGGACCCAAGGTTTGCCAACACCCTCTGGTGCAGTTCGTTTATTAGGGCCTGTTACTTTTCTGGTAATGGTTCTTACCAGGCCGCTCGAAACGACGCAACACAGGAGCACCTAGGTAGAGCCTGCAGGCATACTTTCAGAGCCCTGCAGGTGGATTTAGAGGCAATCCGCGGAATATCTCTGCGCAGATCGCTGCGAAACTTCGGGCAACTGTGGCGTCATTCTCCCGTGGACATGCTCGAACAGGAGGGGGTTCGTATCATCATAGGCCTGTCTTTGGCAGTATTTCCTTGGACTGGAGTGCACGGTGGTAGGAGCCCTGATTGTTGAAAGATGCTCCGAAGAGACCTGATAGTTTTCCGTTTGAAGGCAGTGGAGCTTCGTGGCATTCAGCCACTTAAGCGGCAACCCGAAAAATCTCGAACCTGAGAAGGGACATGAAGGGCCCCAAGTGTACACTGTTGCGATCCCTGCAATCTTGCCAGTAGGTAAGGGGGGAGAGCTGGCTTCCTCCCCCCAGTTTAGGGTTTAGGGTTTAGGGCCTTCTCATGGTGTAGGAAATGACTACCGTTGTAAACTGCTGGTGCTGAATGGTCTATAGCCTATTCCCATTGTTTCTGCGCATGTCATTGACATTACTCTCAGCATCGTGCCTTTGCATGCTCATCCCGCACTCATTGACTTGTTACGTTGGTTTGTGAAAATGAATTAGTTAGTTGTTTTCTTGTGCAGACATTGGCCCGAACGATTCCGAGCTAAACCCAACGAAGAGCCATTCGCAAATTGCTGAGCTATGTGACGTAGGTTGTTGATTGTGGTTTCTCGTGGGTGTGCCCTGGATTCATTTGGAGTATGTTGGTGTGCACATGGGATGTCCATGTAGGGAGATTTTGAACATTCCCGTGAGGATCGATTGGGCCTTTGGGAGTATTCTGCGCCCGCACAGTCCTTCGATATCTTCCTCTCCCACACCTGGCTAACGCCGGGGAGGCAAGGATTCTTGGAGTTAGGGTTTAGGGTTTAGGGTTTTGGGTTTCAGGGTTTAGGGGTATAGCAGGAAGTCAGGATTCTTGGGTTTCAGGATGGTCTAGGAGGGTCTTCAGGATTTCGGGTTTTTTCCATTTTGACGGTTTGGTTCAGGGACTCCGATTCCTGGAGCAGTGAGGCTGGTTTCCAGGGTTTAGGGTTGTCCAGGATAGCGCCCGCTGTATCCTTATGAAGGGCAGAGTTTCTGAAGCCTGCTTGCCAAACAATTCATATGACTGACACTGTTCTGAAATAGTCAGTAAGCCTTGAAACGGAGTGGAAGACTGTTTTCAAGTCTTTGGCAGCCGACCTGAGATCCAGCAAGAGCGGCCCCGCTTGCGCAAAGCAACCACGAAACAGCAAATAACCCCATATACAACCCTATAGTAGCTTCCATTTTCTTTTCCATTATCCCGACATAACCCCCTTTAAAAAACCACCCATATAAATTCGCACCTGGGATTCCCCGAACTATGGCTGCCTCCTCATGCTCACGACATTAGGTCGGACAAAAACCGTTGCCTCCATGCAAACACTTGGAAGGTTGCAAGACTACAGCAAGGCCCAAACAACAACATATGAGCTATAGTCTAAACTCCTTAAAAGGGGGTTGTATAGGGGATCATATATGGAACTACTATAGGGATATTAAGGGGGATACTAGGAGTTTAGACTATAGCTCATATCCTGTAAGATTTTTCATTTCAAGGGATGCTTCGTAAAGTCTTCTGCCGGCCTTTGTCAGGTGGAAGGTTGTGTCCTTGCTCTTCCAATCGGGCTATCACTTCACGCTGGTTAGTGTGGTAACCTGTGTTGCTGCTACGTGCCTCCTTTGTGGCTGGCAACTTGATCCGGACTTGTAGTACCGAGTTTTCAGGCTTTGTGGGCTCCTAGGAGAAATATTGAGGTTGCACGGCTGTAGGTGTAGGATGCTCTGCTGGTTTTGTATGTATTCTTTATGATCCTTCATGTTGAAAGAGCCTGACACGGCTGTGAGTGAAAAAACACTGGGTTTGTAACAGGCTTCGACGGCCATTGCGCGATATATAGGCTTGTAACAGAATATCCTCGCTTGCGACAAGTGCCTTTGCGACAAGGTTCTTTCGTGGGGCCTACCTGTGCCAAGCATTCGCGACAAAGGTATGTAGCAACAGGCCGCGACAAAGGGGTATGTAACACCGGGGGGGGGGAGGGGTGGGGACGACAGAACTGGGTTAACGGGGTTTTGATCTACAGCCACATGTCCATAGCGCCGCAGAAAGCCAAGGCGAGTGCTGCCGATGCCTTTCACCTACATTGTTGATTATCCTGATTTTGAAGCACCTTGGCTTACGTGCAAATCCCCTCAACATCATGCGGAAGTTTTCAGGGTTACCCCCGCTACTATCCCGAAAGGGAACCTTAGAATTACATTATGGGAGATAAGTCCAGAAAATCTGCGCATGTCATTAAGGGTGCACAAGGGTCCCCTGAAAGTAATTGTCATAGCAGTACTAACAATAGTAGTGGTAGTAATAGTAATAACAGTAGTGATAATACAAAAGTTGCGGAGGAGTATATCCCTGACACCCTACGGGCCTTTAGCTTCAGAAACCCTGACACGCCACGTCGTAAGCAACAAGCTGCTTTCCCACAACCGCACCGATGACTACTGATCCTGAAACCCCTGAACTTCCCCCCCAAAAGAAACGTTTGAAAATGATGCGAGGATCCCCAACTTGATTTCAGGGTCAAAGTGTGAACCCGGCGCTTCAAAATTTGTCAAATCTAGCTTGCAGGGGTATAGGTACACTTGCTACGACTTGCTATGCCCCCTGATTGGTAGGTCCCCGGCAGTTCGTAACGATGAACCCTAGATAAGCCACGAAGTGACCATAGATATCCCCATCTACCCAAACTGCAACCCCTAAACCCCAAAACCTGGCCGTCGAAGTGGGCTACCTTAGCTCTCCTTGGCCATGGAGCCCAGGCACACTACCCTTATGCTCCCTGGCCTTCTATGATGGGCCTCCTGAGCACGGTATCTTGGATTCCGTTCATGAATATGGGGTTATATAGGAGTTCATATGGAGATTATATGGGGTTATGTTGTGTTGTATGGGGGTTATATGCAAGCCTAAACCCTAAGCCCTAGTTTAGAATGCAAACCTTGCTACACTTCCTCTCAGAGGTTACCTTTTTGGGGCCATGTCATTGTCCTTAAACCCTAACCCCTAACCCTTGGACAATATAGTAGTTTCCATTTTACTCTTCCATTATTCCTGTATCTAGTCCCGCTTAAGTAGATAAAATATGGGGTATATGGGGATCTTATTACAATATACCCAAACCATATTCTATCTACTTAAAGGGACTATACCCTAAACCCTAAGTCCTAAAGCCTAGATAGTAGTTTCCATGTTCTTTTCCATTAACCCTATATAACCCCAATATAACCCTAAACCTTAACCCCTAAACCCTACCCCTAATGGGTGACTGTAACTCTTAAGGCTACGGGTTGCCTATAGGGTCCAGGTAGATTTTGCGTCTAGGGTCCCAAAGCCCTCAACCTCAACTCGAAACTTCGAGGGAGTAGTATTTCAGTTTGGGTTTAGGGTTTAGGGTTTAGGTCCCCTTATGGAGTAAGATTATGACCCTGTAGACCCTAAGCCATAAACCATAATATCCCTAAACCCTAAACTCTATTTGGTATACACTCCAAAGTTCAAGCTGCAGCTTGTGCAAGCTGGGGTCCCCCGTCCCCCGTGTCATCCTACACCTTAAAAAGGGGTTTTAGGGTTTACAGGGTTCATATGGGTTTTGGGTTTTGGGTTTATAGGTTTAGGGGTTTTAGGGTTTCTAGGTTAGGGTTTAGAGTTTATGGGGTTTATAGGGTTTCTAGGCTTTAGGGTTTAGGAGACCTGAACCATCCGACCGCCAAAATCTACTTCTTATCATAGGCTGCATATAAACTATTTTCCCCACGCCCTGAAGGCAAACCCCAAACAAACCCTCCGCTGGAAACAAGTTCAGCCGCTGAAACCCACGAAGCGCTAACCGAAAGTAATCCATGCACCCTATTTCCTGTTTCATGTGTCGAGTATTCTGATTGTTAATCTTTGGGGATTATAGGATACCCATAAACACAAACATGTTACCCTAAAAGATGTGTATAATCCTATGTCCTATATCGAGGTCTATGGACTCCCCACGTAAAATGCTACCCAACTCCTAAACCCTAAATCATAAACCTTATCCCAGCTTCGGTTTCACTTTCCATTTGGCTTTTGCATTGCTGCTTGAGGATTGTTTAAACCTAGGCCCCTACTCCCTGAGCCATACATCCGCGTCCTGAACCGAAATCTTAAAATCCTACAGAGGATGCAGGGAATCTTGCACCATACTGTAATTGCGATTATTGGGGTTATGTAGGGTCGTGCAAGATTTCCTCTATCCGCAGTAAGGCCTAAGCCCTAAACCTGAGACCCCATTCCCTAGATCCTCCCATAGCACAGTGGCACTTTGACCAACCGTGATCCATGTATTGATACCATAGTCAATAGTCCCAAGTAGTTAATAATGAGAATAATGGAGAATCCAAAAATAGCCGTTTGGAAGCTGTGATTATGTAGCCCTAGGGATCAAAATAGCCCAATGTAGGCATTATTTACACACTTTACGGCCCACTGTAGGTATTATTTGTACACTTGGATCCCTATATAGCCCTTTTATAACCCCAGTTTCCATTTCATGTTCCATTTTCTTTTCCATTTGATTCTCCATTTTTGGTATTGTTTGTAGACTTGGATCCCTATATAGCCCCTTTATAACCCCAGTTTCCCTTCATCATTTTCTTTTCCATGTGATTCTCCATTTTTGGTATTATTTGTAGACTTGGATCCCTATATAGCCCCTTTATAACCCCAGTTTCCCTTCATCATTTTCTTTTCCATTTGATTCTCCATTTTTGGTATTATTTGTAGACTTGGATCCCTATATAGCCCTTTTATAACCCCAGTTTCCATTTCATGTTCCATTTTCTTGTCCATCTGATTCTCCATTTTTGGTAATATTTGTAGACTTGGATCCCTATATAGCCCCTTTATAACCGCAGTTTCCCTTCATCATTTTCTTTTCCATTTGATTCTCCATTGTTGGGATCCATAAAAGTAGGGATTCTGTATCCAGGTGTGCGGTTTGCTCCTGTCGCCTTACGTATTGGATAGCTGCAGCCGCCAGGCCTTTGGTACCAGGGTCTTGGGTTTTGGGTTTAGGGTTGGGATCTGCAGAATATGAGCTTCATGGGAGAGCGAGGTCGGGGCTTCGAATTTTGCAGATCCATAGAGGTATCCTCAAGGATCCACGCACCCATGCGAGTTCTGGAATGGGGACTCAGTGATAACCAATATCATGTTTTGAGATTCCTTGTAAATTCATGGTCTAGGATGCTTCAATAAACTTGAAGATGATCTTGGTCGTTGTTTGGACCCCTACTGTAGACTGTAGACAAGTCCGTCAGCTTGGGACGTCTTTGAAGGCTGCTATTTTTCAACCAAGTAAGGAGAACTTGTTCTTCCATGCTGCGCGTGTTTAGGTCTGAGCACCTGTGACTTACCTGGGCGGCTCGTAATGGGAGGTACAGTAGGTTTTGGGACATTTGTATGTGTGTATATATATATATATCATTCATTTACATAATCCCTGTATATTCCCTATGTGATACCTGGACTCATATTATTCTCTATATCGAGATATAGATATAGGTATTACATAAGTTCCCTAGGGATTATATAGCGGTAATGTAGGGGCGTTACCCAGGAATCCTCAAAGTACGAGACTGCAGGTCCTTGGCTCTGAACAAACCGTTGAGGTTTAAAGAAAATGAAATGGAAACTGGGATTCTGTCGGACTCTGTAGGGGTTGCGAAGTCATGTAAATATGTCTTAATCCTCAATTTTGAGGATGAGGTTATACCCTTCAACCATAAGGCTCAAAGCCAAAATTCCAAGCTTCACAGGTGGCCATCTGCTTCTTCGATGTAGTGAGCATCCATCAGTCAGACAGAGACCTCACGGAGAGAGGGATCTACGGCCTAGGTAGGGCTGGGTTTTGTCTCTTGTAGTAGGGTTAGGGAAGCTGCGACCTATGATGTTTTGCGGTTGCGTAGCTCCTTTATCGCTTTGTTCAGCTGAGCTGCTAGCATGCTTGGTTTTGAGACCTGTACCCCCTGCTACTCCAGACTAAATACCGGAGAGATAGCAAAAGGAGGTTGTCTAGTCAGTCCAGTTTTTGCGGTGACGTCTGCTAGAGCCTACTGAGATCCCACCTAGTAAGCTGCAGAGTCCCTGAGTCCCTGCATGCTACACAACATTTTGAGGTTCCGACACACTCCGCATCAACTGTTTTGAAGCATCTTGTACAGGAGTAGACCCCAATGTAGCGGCCTCGGCCCATTGCATTATGCTGCATAACGCAATATGTCGAGGCCGCTACATCAGGGTCTACGGTGTAGGAGACTCAATGGGGCTAAGGAAAGCACAGAATTCTATGCATGGCCTACAAAGCTATGGGAGAATTCGGACCCCCTTCATCCTCCCCACGGCTTCCTCCCCTTCCTTCCCTCCTGCACTCCCACTCCACTTCACACGCCCCCACAATTACAGAAAAACCCAGACAGGAAGCACGCAAGGAAGTAAAGCGGGCTTTAGAATACTGAGCGAGAAAGAACCAACCCTCCCACCCCCACGTGGTGCGGTGAGGGCTGGGGCTACTGGGGCATACCACGGGAAAAGTGAAGCCCGTAAAGCAAGAAGACACTTGTGGGATATACTCTCAAAGTCCACCCCAAGCCATGACAAATCCAAAACAAAACTAAATAGGAGACTTTGGGTAAGCCTTAAACCCTAAACCCTAAGCCCTAAACCCTAAGCCCTAAACCCTAAAGCCCTTAAATATTCAACCCTGAACAGGTGGCTTCCTCAAAGTGTCCAGCGAGCTGCGGGTGCTTTGGAGTGGCCCCTACCTGCCCTTGGGTGGAAAATTTCTCAAGTTTTAGGGCTCAGGGTATAGGGTCTAGGGTTTAGGGTTGAGGGTTTAGGGCTCAGGACTTTGGGCAAATGTAGGGGTTGAGCCTGAATGCATGGACCCCTATTTCAAGAAAAGTTGCCCCCGGTTGGTTAATGCTAGGTTGTTTTGTTTGGGCCAGTATAGATATTCAAAAATCGAATCCTTGCTATGGGGACCCTCAAAAAGGTACCCCTCGTGTCGGGAAAGCTGCATTTAAGGTTGGGGGACTATATTAGAGCCTGAGACGTGGCAAAACATGTCGCGAGATGTGTCTCTCTAAGGTTGGAAGTATTGGCCCCTAATGTGGGCCCTCAGGCCTCTTCGGGGGATTCTAGGGACCCTTCAGGGTACATATAGGGTATATAGTAGGTATATATGAGGATCCCAGGGTTAAGGGCCCATACTAGGGGCCATGGTTTGAACCTTAGTCTCTCGTAGACAGAGGCTGCAGTTTGGAACTGGAGCACATAGCATTTGGGCATAGTAAAGCCACCCCACAGCCAGACGAACCCCCTTGAATTCCTTGTGTACCCCATGCACCGCCATATTTCTGTATGTAGTTCCTATACCACTTTAAGAAGACCCAAGCTTTGGTGGAGACCGGCCGAGGTCTCGTCTCTGGTGTGTTTTTGAATTGGCTGCATACAGGAAGGCAAATCCGGATGGCCTCATCAAGGCGCCTTGCAATATTGTTTTAGCCGTGATTATGAAGGTCGTGGGAGTGGTGGCAGCGAAAGGAGGAGGAGCAAAGGGGTGGACAATAAAAATGGTAGCACATGTAGCTATGATTCTTTGCGTTCGAAGCTGTGGTGCTTGTGTGTTTTCTTCTCGTAAGGGCGGAACCTTATGCTTGTAAAGCCGTTCAGAGTCTGCAAGCTTTGGCACCGTTCCTTACGCTGACCCGGGTCTCCCAGCTCTTTACCAAAGCTTCATGGTAGTTTACCTAAAGAGGGGGGATCCAATATAGATCTCGAAATTGTATAATCCTTATTATGGGAATCTCACAAAGGCACCCTAATTTTGAGGAGCCCCAAGCCCTTAACTCTATATACCTCTATATAATCGTATATGTCCCCTATAATCCCGTCCGGGTGGCCCTCATTTTGTCACATCCCCATGTCAAGTGCGCAGCTTCCAGACAGTTTCCCACAATCCAAATCTTAAATGATCTCGGATCACAGCTTCACTTGGGCTGCGTGTATGCTACTTGTAGAGAAAATCGTGTTGCAAGAAACCGATCTGTTTACAAAGCTACTGTGTATTCAACTCTAATATGTCATCCTGAGGGCGATGCCGAGTTTGGAATATGAAAAAGCTAAGATGAGGCAAGGTGGAAATCATGCCTACCTCAGCAGTGAGAGTTGTTGCGATAGGCTTTCGAATGTACCACCTGGGAACACTCCACACAACTTCTCAAGGAAGCTCTAGCAAAATTCAAGCAGGCTAGAGTGTAGCTACCGCGCCCCACCAGCGGCTTGCAAAACAAGGGCCAGGAAATCGTAGTAGTAGGAAACCCAAACCAGCCAGAGGCTCTAAACCTTATATTCCCCAACATAAAGCCGAGAAACATCCTACCACACGACCCTGCCCCTGAGCCCTAAGATCATGCAATCCCGGAGTTCTCCCAGCCCTAATCTCCCCAAACCTCCTGAACCCTGTCAGTAGGGAATAAGGGACTATAATCCCTAGATAATTCCGTATTCTATATTCTCTTGTTCCCTACTAACCAACAGTAGTTAAGAATCCTACCCTAAACCGTAAATCCTAAACCCTAAACCCTTTATTATATGACCCTGCAACAATGGCTTCCATTTTCTTTTCCACTATCCCTATATAATCCCCATATAACCATTAATTGTACCCCCTAAACCCTTTAGGTGACTCCGCTATTTGTAGAAGCTGGCGTCCTAGCCCTCATTCTCGGGTCCTACTGCGCTGGCTTTGGATTCTTCGTTGTCTTTGCACTCCACCTGCATGCATCTTTTCGACTCTTTTGCGAGATTGGGGGGGTTTCCGAAAGTTAGGGGCACCATTTTGGGGGTTGATCGATTGACTGATTGATTAATTGGTTGATGGAGATGGAATTAGATTCATCTCTGTGGCTCGACGGTGCTTTTACGGAAGCACGGTGCTCATTAAGCAAACTGATGCTAATTCACAGGAGGCCCGAAAAGGGATTTCGAAGTATGGCCTGGATGTAGTTTTTCTCTTTTTAGAGTATCTAGTGTAGTCCTTGGTTCTTCAAGTCTACTTACAAGCGCCTACGCAACGTGAAGCAAGGTCCTCATAAAATCCCATAAGCCATAAGCTCTTTTGTTGAGATGGTGGGTCATGACAGCCGCAGTAAGGACTGGCAGCTTATGGCATCGCGCACCTCAGCTTGTACATCTCCGAGCTTAGAGAGGTGTTACAATTTAGGGTTTAGGGTTTAGGGTTTAGTTACAATATAGTCAGCTTGATCACTGTCGCCATCACTCTTTGTTGTGGTCACAAACGGCTTCGAATCACAAAGACTGGGTTTGCAACGGGCTTGGGTGGCCATCCCCCGGCATAGGCTTGTAACAGAATCTCCTGGCTTGCGACAAGCACCTTTGCGACAAGCTTCTTTGTGGGGCATACCTGTGCCACGCATTTGTGGCAAAGGTATGTAACAAGAGGCCACAACAAAGGGGTGTGTAACAGGCAAGGGGGGGGCGATTTTCTTTAGAACGGTTTTCTGATCCACAGCCGAATGTACCCCGCGACTATACCATCCTGGCAGTATCATTATACCAAAATTGGGCATATGTTGTCGTATGTTTTTCGTAGTCCTAGAAGCTCCGGACGCGGTTGTAGTAGATCACGCGTCGCCAATCTATAGTGAGTCGTATTGACCTTCAAGGAGGTTGGACCGATTAAAGGGTCCCCCTTTGCTAGGTAACCTTTGCTTACTGGTGGTTAGTAGGGAATATGGGAACATAACCCCTGTATAATCTATTCAGCCATTCCCTACTAACTAAAACCCCCAGTGAGTTTTTGATATCTCCTGTGAGTTGGAGTTCCGAACGTCATGTGTCTAGCAGGTACAGGAATTAGGGTTTAGGGTTCAGGGTTAGAGAGTGATAAGAAATTTCCTCACTGCTCAAATAAGGTTGATCCCCGTCTACTTTCTGATGCATGCCATGCGCAAGAACAAGAGAGCCAAACAACAGCTTGTCAACGAGCTGAAGAACTTTGATTTGACAAAAGCCTTGTGCCGCACCGACTTCGACAGGGATTTCATCCACAGCGCAATCGTCCACTGGTACGGTAGCAAGGAGAAGTTTGTCGATCACGTTCGTGGACCCTTGCGCGAGGAGCTTCTGGCAGAGGGGACTCTGAATATACCCCTGCCCTACTTGCTCCTAGTGACAATAGCAGCAATGTGTTCCAGCCTGAACTCTGTGGTGGCATACTGGGTTGGGGGTGCCTCTGTGGATACCGTTCTCTCACAGCTCATAGGTGGCACCCTTGCCCTTGAGTCTGGGTTGCTGTTAAGGAACTTAAATCAAGTTACCATACTGGGTATATATAGTAAATAATAGGGGTTCCCCAATATAGTAGCTTAATTTAAGTTCCTCAACAGCAACCCAGGAGTTCTTCTGGTTTTTGCCCATTACAAAATTCAGCATCTACTTGTGCGACCGCTTTGCGGACCCTGTGTGGACATCCTGCTGCATGGATTATATGCAGACTGGCGCCATCTTCCTGTGCTTCTTTGCTTTGTATTATGCTGGTGACGAGATGGCTACCGCCGCCCAAAGTTCTGGTTTAGCAACAACTTGTGCATGGTGTTTCTTTGCCTGGACTGTGTCCTGGATGTTCTGCTTCCAGGGATATGTACATATCCGACGTTTCACAAGACTTGCCTTCAGCGGGTGCTGATTTCACAAAAAGCCTCCAGGGGGGGGCTCCAGGGGAGCCTCCAGGGGGGGGCTCCAGGGGGGCCTCCAAAAAAGCCAGCCGAGCTTGCATGCAGGCAACCCAAACAGGAGCTTTTGGCATGTGTCCCCTATGCCTTCAGCCTCAGGCCTACAGGTCCTTGAATCCGCTGCGCAGAGGTGGCCTTGGGGGTACCCTGGGGGTCCAGAACCCCCCTTCTAAAGTGATGTTGATGTGGTTTTTGTTGGGTCCTGCAGCGTGGCCAGGGGGAATCCCATACGAGGTCCTGAACCCTTTGAACTGCAACCTGAACACTGCTCCTTGAAAAGTCTGTAGCCACTCCAAGCATACTCTTTGCCTTCATGAGACCCTCGGGATAGGCACTATATGAAAAAGAGTCCAACACATCAAGCCGAGATTGCGCGTCGTTGCAGTATAAAAGGTGCAAAAAATGGTGTTTATCAAGCTAAGTTCTAATTGACAAAGTGCAGGGACGAGACACAGCTCTGCAATCGGACGCACGCGCACTGCAGCTTGCGGCTCAGAAGCCGATTCTTACCATGAACAAGGAGGAATGGAGCACGGAAAAGAAAGCCTTACGACACATGCCCTGAGTGTTCTACCCTCCTTTTTCAGGCTGATTGAGTGCGATTTGTGGCTTCCAGCGCCAACAAAACCGAAAGCCCTAGATCCTCAACCTGCATGGTTCTTGGCTGACGGCAGACCGCTGAGAACAATGTCCATGCTTCAAATGAGGGCATAGCTGGCATGCTGGAGCCTCATTTTGCTTCATGTTCATGTTGCTAGTGAGCTACTAGTGTTTTCAACTGCCAGGTAAGTATGTAGTGATCCAGCTTTGTTGTTGCCAGCCTGACAATGCGCTCGTGCACGCGATGCATGGTTTTGCTGGTGTGCGCCGCATCTGCAGCTGCAGGCGAAGCATGCAGATCCAGCTGCATGGAGATTTGAGTCTATGTTTTAGTTGGACCCCCACCCTGGAACAGTGAAGGGATAATAAGGATTATACCACTATTACAAGGTGGGAGGTCCTCCTAATCTATGTCCGTGCTATGAGTCTGACAGAAGCCCGGACATTGAATCGGTCGGATAATAGGATCAGACCATGCAGACCCCAATCCGATTCTGCTTAAACGGGCAGTATCCAAATTCCCGTGTTTGGCTTCAACTTTTTTTTAAAGCCGAAAGGAGGGGAAAGATACATCAGACTTCACCTACATCCTACCATGGGGTTCACGACTACACCATCCCGCATGGTATTGGCTGTGGACAGGTCTTGAGGGAAGCCTTCCTTCACGGGGACATGTGGTAATTTTCTAAAATGGGTGGACCCCAATATAGACCCCAAAAAACACACCCTAATTTTGGGAAGCTCCCTTATGTGGCAAGAAGTAAACTACTCCAAGCTCGGACTCCCTTACTTACGCAATCTTGTTCAACCTTCAACTGCAAACTCGGTTTGGGGCGTAGGGTCCTCGGGCCCAAGCCATTATTCTACACAGCAAGTAAGATGACGTGTCCGGCTTCCTTTGTGATGATTTAGTTCCATGGTGCTCGATGTTAAGCCCTTTGCGTATTCAGAAGCTTTACCAGATGGTGTTTACCACCCAGGCAAATCTCAGCTCGACAACATTTGCACCTGCCTCTCTCTTCTATCCCATAGTTGTCAGAGTGGGTTCCTACGATGCTTTCGCAGCCCTAGGGATCCAAATAGCCCAAGAATGTAGGTAATGCTTACAGACTTTAGGGCCCAATGTGGGCGTTGTTTATATACTTGGATCCCTATGAAACCCCTTTATACACCCAGCTTCCATGTAATTTTTCATTTTCCATTTGATGCTCCATTATTGGTTTTAGTTGTATACTTGGATCCCTAAACCCTAAACTTCTTAAACCATTGGGGTAACTCTAAACCCCCTAAACCCTGAACGCCTAAGCTCCCAACCCTTTGGGATAACCCTAAACCCCCTAAACCCATTAAATTTAAGGTAGGGTGTGCAAACCTTGGGAGGCGCTGAGAACTCCTCGGTAGACGAGAGCTTGACGAATGCTTCGACTTCGATACTTAACAACTCGTGCCTGGGTTGTTCTTGGGATTGTAGAAGGGTATATAGGGATTTAGGGTTTAGGGCTTGAGGGTATAGGGATTTAGGGTTTAGGGCTTACGGGTATAGGGATTTAGGGTTTATAGGGCTTAGGAGTGTAGGGGTTAAGGGTTTAGGGTGAGAATCTCCAGGTATGGATGTGATTTTTGTAGGTACGGAACTTGGAGTCTGAGGTATCTGACCGACGGGTTTCTATTTGTGGCGCATGTGTATCTGTATGGCTACCGCTCAATATAATTGGTACGGAACAAGGGGAAACCATCATCCGAATCCAGACCTGGATCCAGAGCTCTAGAAAAGCTCCCGAACCCAGTTCAAGACCCTTCGTCGGCTGTTTGTTCCGGACCAACAAATGCACTATCTCAAAACTGATATCGCGCTCGAGGTCTGTTCCATACCTGTTCCATACTCGTTCCAGACCAACTTTCGCATTTGGCAAGTCACCCTTGCCGGAACTAGCAAGAGCAAGTCATCCGTTCCAGACTCCAGACCCTCCGGATCAAGGGTGCGATCCAGACCCTCTGGATCAAGCGCTTTAGGGATGTGCACGCAGGGCACGTAATTTTGATCAGTAGCGATCTGTATATTAATATTATATATATATATATATTTATTTATTTATGTATACATATCCTCTCAAGGAAGGCCAACTCACCTATCCGAACAACAGCTTAAGCGCCCAATTTCCGAAGACTAGGAGGGCGTCGTGGACTGTTAGCTTGAAGCAACGATTCAGGGTGTTGGGTTCATAAGGTTGCGGAGGATGCAGGATGTGCAGTTGCCTGTTTACAGATTTGAGGTTCAGCGTTTAAGCCTTTGTGCGGTTCACCTAGCTTCTGCAGAGGAGGTACACAAGTTTCCTATATGGGTCCTTGTTTTACGGCTTTTCCGGATGTTTACAGCAAGGGCTTGACCGGCACCATATGGGAACGGAGATGAAGAGAAGGAATCCTCATCACATGCTTAAAGAATCTTCGAAATGATTCTTCCAATCTCGAAGATGGCTATTTTTGAGAAAGAAACCACCCATTACACTCGCGAGCGTTTATGCTGTTGCAGCTTGTGATGGTTGTTTCTGGTGATTCCGTTTTTGGTTCTGGGGCATGCATCAGACTGTTTTATTTATTTCTGTGCCCTTGAGTTTCTCTGTGGAGGTCCAGGGGTTATGGATTGTTTTGGGTAAAGCGTTGTGTTGGGTCCTGTGTTGTTTTGGGCTTGGCCTTCCAGAGTGTGAGGTTGAGTTGGGAGACTGTCAGCTCTGCTGAAACCTCAGCTTTTTGCAGCTAAGGCGCTACCCCCCCCCCGCCTACCATGTACGCTTATCCTTCAGAGACCAAAGTAACACTCAACCCTTAAACCCTAAATCCTAGACCCCAAAACCCTAAAACCCTCTTATGAAGCCTTTTGCTCATACCCTAACCTCCCTAAAAACATCTTTGCCCCAGAAGCCAAAGTCATCCAGCTCCCAGGCAGGTCGTAGTGGCCAACGCTCAACGTGACACTGCCCTAGTCCAGGTTGGTGTCTATCGGTTAAGGGTTTACAGGGTTTGTAGGGTTTATAGGGTTCATAGAGTTAAGTGCTTGGGGTTCGGAGTACAGACTCCAGACGTCGGTTTGATGCTTTGCCAGCTATCGTTCACAGTTTTTTTTTGATAGGTTTCGCTTGAGGAACAGCAACCGCAAAGCTCGTTGTTCAGTGATGTGGCCTTATCCTGCGAACAATGTCTCGCAATTGGGTTCTGACAGTTTGCGAAGAGGAATACCCAGCTATGGGATCCTTTGCATGTCTTGCAGCTGCGCTCACTCCCATGTGGCTGGGCGCTTCGGTGTTCCACATTGAAGCCTGACATCTAAGTCCTGGATGGTTTGGGCTTTCAGGGTGCCTTGTTTTCTCTTGCCTTCTCGTGTCCACAGCATGCGCCTGAGTCCTGCTACTGAATTGGGCCTCTGTGCGTGCGCGGGTGGAATACCAATCCGCATTATTGCAGGAGCCTACATGTGTTAACAACTGCAACTACTTAGTGACTTGATGTTCTGAGTCAGAGCTGAGAACGGATCATGCAAAGGGTTCTCAGCACCTTTGACGATAAGATACGATAAGTTTACTTCAGCGCGGGGCCTGAATTTGTAGCGTGCAAGAAGTGACCCAAAACCATCCAGCCATGTCAAGGGCATTATAACACACTCACCTCAGCTTGGCACTTGTCTCAAGCAACCTTCGTCAACACCAATCCCAAATCCCGGACTTTCTGCTGCACACCGTCCCATGAATCGTGTCAAGCCTGATCACTAAGCCTTGAGCTCTAAGTTCTTGAAAGACATGAACCACTCATGCCCAGACAACACTTGCGCTTCTGAACTTCACAAGCAACTGCATGACAGGCCATCGAACAGCCTCCTGATGATACTTCAGAGGGGTTGTTGACGAACAGCACAGGCAGCTGGCTGAAAAACAGGACGATGGGGGTAGGCCACTCTTTCTTTGTGATGACAAAGGGCGCAACCTTCCCACAAAATACCATCGATGTAGTTGGCCTCAACATTCGCATGTTGTGAATCCATCCGGACAATAGTAGTTACCCCGGAATGTCCCTGAGAGAAGGAGTGATAGCATGAGCTACTCCTGCCACTCTTTCTCCCCTATCTAGCTGCCGTAGCTCCAGCAGCAGCTGCTGCTACTGCTCTGCTGCTGTTCAATTCCTCTCTGCCCCTACTACACTACCCACTGCTTTCATTGCAGTCCCTGCTCCTACGGCTCATGCCTCCCCACTGCTTCGGCTTTCGACATGGCAGGACAAACGCCACACTGCGCGGCATGCTTCACGGACTCCCAAGGGGCAGTTGTTTTTCCAGTGGTAAAATGGGCTTCAGCATAGTCAT